CCCCCCACCCTCCCTCACACTCTGTCCAGCTGAGCTCTGCCCTCCTGCTGCCTCTCTAGGGGAGGAGGAGGAGAGGGAAGAGTTCCCCCCAGCATGGAAAGGAGCCTCCCCCTGCCCTGGGGGATGGGGAAGAGTCCCCCTTTGGGGCTGGGCAGCATCTCATAGAGTCACTTCTCCCCACCCTGCAGTGATGGGGGAGAAGTAGGGGGAAAAGTCCCCCTCTGGGGTCAGGCAGCCTCACAGAGCCCCTCTCCCCAACCCACTGCAGGGGGGGAGGAGGAGAGAAAACAGCCCCCCCCCCAGCTCTGAACAACCCCCTGCTCCTGGCCCTGCGGTGGTGGGGGAGAGGGAGGAGAGGGAAGAATTCCCCTCTGGGGCTGGCAGCCCTGTGTGCCCAGATTGTTTCTGGTTGTCAGGGTGCTGCTGGGGTGGGCCTGCTGGATCCTGGTCATGCCCCCATCTCAGCTTAGCTCCCCTCTGGAAGGGAAGGGAGAGCTGCTCTAGCACCCCCAGGCATCTGGCTTGAGCCACTGCAGGCATGTGCTGAACATCTGTCCACCTGCAAACTGGTTAAACTAACTTGCAAAGTCAATTCAGGCTCAGGCTTTTTGAATATCTGTCCCTAGCCTAAAAGTTCTCCAGTTGGGACATTTCAGGGCTCACAGCAGACACTCTAACCAACACCACTGTCCACTGGCTGACATACTGAAACCAGAGCTTGGAGCAATATATAGGTAGAATCAGCCACTTTGCCTTAACTCAATATGTCAGTTGTTATGTAAGCTATGTGATTCTATTTTTCTTCCCTGATTGAGTGACAAACCATTTAAAGATAAACAGAGCAAAAGGCAAACAGCAAATAATTGTTGTGTCCTGCATCATCTAGTATGAATTTTCTAACAAACAGTATGATTGACTAACATTGATGAAACATTTAACTTCTGAACATTCCCAAATAATAAGCAACATGAATCAATAATTCACAGCAGAATACATTTGCCATTTTTAACAGGTAGAGAAACTTCAGCATAAAGAAGCCAAGTAAGTTGGAACCAAAATCAACTGACAGACAGCAGCAGAGCTGGAAACACAACTCTGAAGCCTCTAACTCTGGCTTTCTCTTCCATTCATGCTCTTTTTTCCTACTTAATTTATTCAGATTGTGAATTCATGCAGAAGTGACAAACAGCTGCTAATAAATTTTTAACTGCCTCCTCCTCTGTTGGATGGACTGAGTTTCAAAACACTGACAGGACTGAGATTCAAGACCCTCTCTTAGTGCTGGTGCCTTGGTCAAGTTGCATTAGTTAAGAGTTACTTCTTCAATGTCTGGCAGTATTTTATTCCCACTACTTTCTCTGGATCAGCTGTACCAGATATCATGTATAAATAAACTCAGGGAGAAAACAGTATTTTTCTTTGAAGATCTAAAGGAGGGCTATAGTAGTATTGACATTTCACGTTACCTATGCTAAAGGGAGTAAAATATTACATCACCCACTAGACTCCAGAAGACATAAGAATAGCTAGTTCAAACCCAGATGTCATAGGGCTAA